TTAAATCTATCAACAGATTGTATTATTAAGGCGGAAAAAATTACACATTTCATTTGAATCTTTCAGGAATTAAAAAGTAAACTATGGATTTAATTAAATATTAGAACTACGAGGATTTTTGGTAAGATTTATCCTAAAATAATTCCGGAAGAGACAAAATGTGCACTATAGCCGAGAACCTTAGAATTTATTCAGTATCGCGAATGTGCTGAGTCTGTAAAACCGTATAATATTTACATTTTCACGCAATAAAATACTCCAAAAGTCTAAATGATTTATAGATACACGATATACACACTTGTGCAAAGATCCTAATATTGAAGACCATTTCAAAACCATTCAACATTTTTTTCGTGATTTTTTTGTTCGATTCTTTTTTATAAAATTCCACGAACCAATTTATGTATTTGTAAGTTATAGCTTACATTCTATATAAAAAGTGTGTCCTACATAAATTCGTATATTCTGAGTTATTGTACGGTTGAAATTATTCGAATCACCTTTCTGAAAATTACAGTTGAAGTACCTATTTTATAAGTTAAAATTCTAAATATTTGAAAGAAATTTATTGGGCTTTACTGATTTTATAAGATTTTTGATTTTAAGTGTGGGAAACTTATAATATATAAATATTTTATATATAATCATTCGACTATGTTTAGAAGCCAAGAAATAGTTTTTTCTATATATTTTCTTCATAGAAAAGAGATTGATTGCTGATACTATACCCATTATTTTGTTGTGTACTAAAACATGATACACGTTAGTGTATCTTTTGTCAAGTAGTGAATACCTATAGTGGAATAATGTAATGTTTTAATAGGAAAATTTAGAAAAACCATTCGTTATTGTATAATACTCGAATTACGGGTTGCAGGTTATTCGAAGGCGACACAAGTGAAAAAAAAAGCTATCAGAACATTTTCCGACGAGCAATTCGGGTTCTCAATGTGCGTACGTTTTAATCTATATACCTACCGTATTAAATCCATAGGCCATATTCCATGATAATAATATACAACGCTGCCGCAGAAGTCAAATTCGTAATCCTATAATAAATCATCGTGATATCCAGGAAGTCGATCCGGTAACATAATAAATTCACGATATCGTACATATTTATTATGAAGAGTAAATAATACACATAAACAATGGAGGCGTAAATAAATATAAATACATATATATGTTACACAATAGTTTATCATGTATGATAGATTACCTATAAATAATGTATATATAATAAGTATTGTACATTGTACATATAATATAATACACACATATATAGCAAAATCCGTCGTACGACGTGAATGTAGGTCAAACTTCCGACGTTAACGTGGTTCGTAAATATACGCACACGCCATAATAATATATACATATACATGTATGCGTGTATGTGTCAGTGGACGGCCGGAGCGTACATTATTATAATAATATAAATAATATATATCATCATTGTGGTTGTTATCATTGGTATTAATCATTATTACTGTATAAACTATAATAATGTGTATAATGACGATGAGCGCGGGTGAAAACAAAAATGCAAAACAAATAATAATTCGTTTGCGAGGCAGACTGTGACATGCGATCGCGAAATAATACAGAGATACGGTAATTAGTCTAAAAAATTGATAAAAAATTGATAAAAAAAAAAAAACCTTCAAAAGAACTAAAAATGTATCATACCAGTTAGAGCTATGTACAGGAAAACGACAACGATGTGATATTATGCGTATATTATTCGTCTCATTACAATATCGTATATCTATCGTGAAAAACAATAATATAACTAAATAGATAATCCGAATTCCAGGACGTCGCCGCCGCGTGTAAATCGGAACAAAAAGAAAATAGACTGCTCTCTCTCCTCCCCGTGCCCCGCACGCGATCCGGTCGGTCGATTTCCCCCTACCGGCCCCGAAAAAATATAAAAACGGCCTTACGGTTGACCCGATTTCTCCGGGATTCGTAATCACACACACACACTATATATATATATATATATATATATATATATATATATATATTAACGTTATATTCACTTTACGTGTCGCTACCGCTACCGCCATCCGCAGCATATAATATATATAACATATATATTATTATTTATGTATATATACATAACGCTGCACGAATTATAATATATTATCTATAAATGTATGCGAAAATAATGTAGTAAAACAATACGATGCGTGCGAGTTTAAAGCTCAAATGTGTGTAATATAATATTATGTGGAATTCGTGTTTGGTGTGTATTATCGCACGTAGGTATATTGGTAAATGGCAATACTAGTACCTATAATATACTCAGTTAAATGTCGAGGTACCTATATAATATGCGGTATAGTGGTACACAACGCGTTTATTAGATTTAAAAAAAGATTTTTCGCCTATTTTTTAATGATAAAAACGTCAATTAGAGGAAAATATACTACCTATACTATCGTCCATAATAATCGCATTCTAGTAAATTGAACGTATATTATTATAATAGGGGTTACTAATGAAAAAAAAATTAGCCACTGAACGTTGCAATAACAAATCTGCCGATATTTTGTACTGATTTTTGTTGTCGAAGTTATTTGCAGTCCGTGTTTTCGATTTCGTACTAAGTATTGTAGAATATTTCAACGTACTGACTCGTATTTCAAGAATTATGAAGTGGCTTTATTATCTTTAAGTATTTACAGTTTTACAAAGTGTACTGTCATATCATGTATACAGTAATTATTTCATTGTTTTCCTACGCCCTACCGTTTTTGTGTACGTATAATAATATGTCTAAACGTTAAAAATTCATGATTACAGCGAACTGTTTGTCAAAAATTTCATATTCATACACCAGAGACCAAAGAATTCAAAGAACATGTCAACATTTTATAAATAAAAAAATTGAGTCGACACAACTCCGCAATAAAGTATACCTTTGTGTAAAAGCAAAATAAAAAATTTTTGACATTTAAATCATATGACATATTGTGTACTATTTATATAATGCAGTATATCATTAGATAGTATTAAAATTGATTCTGATCGGAGTTAAATTTTTTGTTGGGAAATTAAAAAAAAAATAAAAAACAACTATTTGCGCCATTTATTGAAATCCGTATTCCAGTTGCTGTAATTTAGATACATTTTAGTTAAATGCAATATTTGTGTAAGTATACCCGATTAAATTTTATTAAATGTACTGCGTGCTAATTTTGAGAGGAAACTTAATGGAAATGACAGTGGGTTTTTGTATACAACAGTATATATAGCTTGTATTTATAATTATATTACGTCTGTGAAGTTATGCCACGCAAATTCAAAATTTTTAACTTAAGTTTAGTCTATAATTAGTTAGTCACTTGTAAGTGTTTGCAAGTTTAAATTGGTTATTTGTGAGATCAAACGTTTTCACTTATCCGTTAAGATATATATATATTCAGAGTAATTTCTTTGAAATCTGTTGGCTTTATAATTTCCCAGATTTTTAACGTAAATATAACATCTTGTACACGAATTCAAAATCGTAAGTCACCTTCCCTTGATCACCTTTGAAAATCAAATAGGTTGTGCTTCGTAGAAAACTTTTTAAGTCTATTGTATATACGCGCTGTGTGCTTATAATAATTATCGTGCCTATATATAGCTTATATACGCGTACACGAAATACAATTTTCGAAATATAATAAAACTAACGTCGCTGTTAAAACTAAAACTCAAGAAGTTGATTGATGTGAGTCGTGCTGCTGCAGAGGGAACCCAGTTTCGCGCATCAAGCGCTGTAACGATGGAGGCATATTAACCGATGACAAACGCCCCTTCTGCAGGTTTCCACGCCGATAAGACGTATGGCGATACGTCTTATACGATATATATGTGCGGTCGTATATTATAATGATGTATACGTTTGCGCCGGGCGCGAGAATAACGCGTGCGTACGTAATTATTTATATTAATATATTGTCTAATATATTTTATATCACGCCTATACCGTCTGACCAGCGAGCGTTTGCCTACGGCGTGTGTACGTGTATACTATAGGTATACTAACCTATTATAAAATCGGTTATAAATAATATAGTCACAAAATATTATTACCCCCAAAAACGTCGTCATGCTCGCTTGGCGTGTACTCGACGAGTTTGCGGTGGCGGTAAAACATCTCGCGACGGGGAAAGACTGACAGGGTGTGTGTGTGTGTGTGTGACTTTCGGGTGGGGGCGGTGGGGTGGGGGGGGGGGGGGGGGGGGGGTAGGTCGCGGCGAAAGCGCGGGCGCGCGCGTCGACGGTGCATGCGCGGAATCGGCGTCTGCATGTCCCGCGATCGCGGCGGCGTGTGGCGCGGAGGGTACTCGCTGGTAAACTTGCACGTGCAGTTTATTGATCCGTGACCCAGTTCGAGTCGAATCGGCTGCCGGTGTTGCTGTTGTTGCTGTCGGGCCAGCAAATACTACGACGACGCCGCGACGGCGCCTCCGTAAATATTTATCATCACTACAATAAAAGTTTTCCACTGTTTGGGTATACGAGTATATTGTGCGTAATAATGATATTAACATGTACAGAAGTCTAGATAAACCACCCCGTCACACATCGCACTATATATATATATATATATATATATATATATACAGTAGAAGCCGCTTATTAGAAACACGGATTATTGATACAATCGCGTTATTGAAACAAAATGTACCGGGACGGATCGCCCGTATATTAGATCATTTAAAATAAATCGGATTATTGAAACATTACATCGGTTATTTGAAACAATTAGATGAAGGTCAGTTGACATAATATACACCGGTTATCCGTGCGATAACCAATATATGTAATTTAATCTTATCTTTGCTGTCGTTACGTTTATATATGGACGGTACTTTATCTTACGTCCTATACGATGAGCACTTTTCTATACGTATCTTTAGTTCAACTTCGGCGTGTGTACGTAAAGGTGATTAGTGTTTCGTTATTTCGTTTGTATTCTAAAAATCTAAAATCTAAATCTAAAAATGTCTAAACGCCAAGATTTAAGTGCTAAACAGAAGTGCGATTTATTAAAATCATACGACGTGCTTCCAAAAATTAGTTTACGTGATGCCGCAGCTCGTTTAAACGTTTCTCATTGCACATTAAATAGAATTTTAAAAAACCGTTCGAATATTGAACGCGCAATAATGGTCAATGAATGTGATAGTCGGAAAAGAAAAAGAGCAGGAAAAGAAGAAGTTGTAGACAAAGCGTTAAAGGAATGGTTCTTACAAGTAAGGAAAAAAGATGCCCGTATTAATGGTCCACTTTTACGCCAAAAAGCAGAAGACCTGGCAAAGAAAATGGGGAAAGACGATTTTGTTGCGACGGAAGGATGGTTTCAACGTTGGAAGAAAAGGGAGAACATCAGCTTCATTAAAACACATGGAGAGCAAGGGGAAGCCGATTTTAGTGCGGCACAATCGTGGTTTAAAACTCATTGGACCGATTTGCTATCCCAGTACTCCCCCTCTGATATTTTCAATGCCGACGAAACCGGGCTTTATTTTAGAGCTCTACCTGAGCACATATACGCACTCAAACTTGACAAAGCCAAAGGGGCAAAAACGAGCAAAGAGCGACTCACAATTATATGTTGTGTCAGCATGAACGGGGAAAAACGAAAATTGATGGTAATAGGTAAGAGTCAGAACCCACGGTGTTTTAAGGGAGTGAAAACATTACCAGTAGATTACAAGGCAAACAAAAACGCTTGGATGACTGCAGCAATTTTCAAAGATTGGCTGATCAATTGGGATAAAGAGCTCAATCGGAACATTTTATTACTCATTGATAATTGTCCAGCTCATATCATTGACTGCATAAACTTAAGACACATAAAAGTTATTTTCTTACCGGCAAATACTACTTCGATCATTCAACCATGCGACCAAGGTATCATACGCACCTTCAAAGCTTATTACAGATCAGCAATAAGGGGAAAAGTTCTTGCAATGATTGATAATGGTCTACACGATGCATCTTGTTCCTTGCAAGCTAACGATATAGCAAAAAAAATAACCATTCTTGATGCTATTCATCTAGCAAAAGAAGCATGGAATAAAGTAAGTATGAAGACAATTCGAAATTGTTTTCGTCACGGTGGATTCAAAACAGATGACAAAACAGACGACAAAACAGACGACGAACACGAACATAGTTTGCCTGAAAAACCAGTCGATCTCTCGGATGAAGTTTATGGCGATTGGGTTGATGTGGACTCACACCTCGATGTGGCAGAGATTCAAACAGAAGAAGAGATTTGTAATGCGGTAATGAATCCTCAAACAATTGAACGGACCAATACTGACGATGAAGAAGAAAACAGCGAGACACCCCTGGCACCGCCATCAAATAAGGAAATTGTAGAAGCTTTAAGTGTCCTCAGGAGAGCTGTTCAGCACCGTGCGGATGAAATAGGTTTTGAGCAGCATTATTCATATGAAAATATGGTTATGGAGTTACTTGAGGAAAAAAAACAAACTACAATCAATAAATATTTTAAATAATTTAGTAAGATAAATATTTTAAATGTGTAATATAGTAATTAGTAAGATAAATATTTTTAATATGTAATATAGTAATTAGTAAGATAAATATTTTAAATACGAAAATCGTAATATACATATACATAGTTAAATAAATACATAAATAAATTTTCCGCGTATTTTTTTTTTTTTTTTTTTTCATAGTACAAATTTAACAAATCGCTTATTAGAAACAATCGGTTAATTGACACATTTCACTTTGGTCCCAAAGTGTTTCTAATAAGCGGCTTCTACTGTATATATATATATATGTGTATAATGCATAATTTAGAACATCGCTTGTGCGTGCCCAATACATCGTACATGTACCTCTAACAGCGGTAGATATATTAGATATATCCATGTATAAGTGATTACGAGAACAGTATTACGACAGTTATATTATACCCTACGTGTTATTACCTACAAATACACCTGACCGGCAACGCAGTTTTCACGTTTAGTAATACGCTATTCGGCATTGTGTGAGTGTTCGTACTGGGCAGGCCGAACTCCATATAGGTATGTATTATTGAAGCAGGGTTGACCCGGAACGAATACGATTTTTTTCTTTAGACTTGATCCCCGCCCGCCCGGGCGACTGTATTGTTATTACGATATAATTATTATAATTTCAGTAAGTCGGGTATGGGTGCTTTCAGCACTTCCCTCTATATCGAAGTCGTATACCTACGTCGCTTGCCACCTCGTTCGTGTATTCGTATAATAACCATTATATTCGTATATAATAGTATTATTGTGTAGTACACGCAGTAGTCGGTTAAAAGAAAAGTGAAAAAACTTTTATCCGATATTATATTATCATCCCTTCAGTACTACTCTTATTATGTTTAGGAGCGACAATACGAATAGTGTATACAATCCGTGCGTTACGTCACTTATTATTACACGCGCCTTGACTGTTTTCGACGATTTATATAATATATTATATTTTATCCAACTATATAGTACAGGCAGGTACATAATATTATATTGTACCTGTTATATAAAGTTTATTTTCTAATTAACCGTCTATCGATTTTCATCCCACCGCTGGGCGCTGTTTTTAATCTTCCACGAAGTGCTGTAAATTGAGTTGTATTTATAATACAATAATATATATGATATAAAATCTAAATTATATAACCAACTTGAATGTTTTACACTGCAGCAAGGTTTGAGATCAGTACTTTTATAATAAAGATTTAAAAAAACCCATCGGAAGTTATAACTTCAAAGATATAACTGAACAAGAAAACAGAATCGTTCACTGTGAACAACATAATATAATACAGAGAAATTTTATTGTATTACACTGAGTTTTCGCAGTGTATTATGGCCTTGGGGAGCATTCGTTTCGTTTTGTTCGTACCTCGACAGAGCACTCAACTTACCCTGAAATGATTGACGTATTGTTTAAAAAAAAAAAAATGTTCTATACGTTTACCTCCGTTATTTCTCAGTTTGAATAATATAGGTATCCTAATACAAAACAATAACTGGGAAATTAGAAAAATAATCTGTCATTTACGTTTAAATTTTTATCTATCTATCTATAGTGATCTATTCTATAGGTATATAGAAGGAGTTGACAACCACTTTTTGTACAGCCTTAAAATTGTGTTTTTTGAAAGTAAAAATAAATAATAAACAACAAATTTAATAAGCACTTTTAATCAGAATCGAATAATATTAAACCGTCCCGAAATTGTAACATTTCATGTAATTCAATAAAATTGTATTTAACAAAAAAATAAAGGATAATTTAAAACATAATATACAGAGATAAAAACTGTTTCGGAAATTTCATTGAACAGTATGACTTCAAAATTGCATTGTATAAAATGAATAGGTAATAAGTATACTCGTATTACACAATATTATTAGTGAGCTGTGTCCGCTTGTAAATGTTGAGAGTTGAAACTTTTAAAGCATTTTTAGTGACTGAAAAATAATAATGCACTAAGTGGTAAGTATAGATACCCATTTATATTGTAAAAACTATAAAAGCTTTCATGATTTTTTTTTTTTATTATTAGTCATCGTACATATTGGATACTACAAAATTAAAATTTTGTATACGAACATTAATTGTTCAAAATGTTTTACTTTTACGCTTTGGAAATTGGAGAATGTATAAAATTGATACACTATAGACATTATTTATTTTTTTTAACTTCATAAAATGTCTTCATACTCCATTTTATTTAGCAGTTAATCATTTAAATATGTTCAAAGAAATATGAACAATCAACATAATTTTTAGTTGGTTATTAACAACATGGGTACACGTGTGCACGATAAGAAAACTATAGTATAATTCGTTGAAAAAACCGACAAAATTGAATTTTTAAATAAATAATAAATTGAACTGATGTATAAAAAAATATATGTAATGAAAAACTCGTGTTCTTATTCGTGTCAAACGCAATATTATATTACATATTCGTATATTGTATGAAAAAATAAAATACTTCCATGGCAGGAGTAAAAATATCAGGTTTTTTATTTATTAATTTTTACAAATTACGCTTTTAATTTAATAAACATATTATATCTAATAAAAACTAAGATTGGACTAACACTAACAGATATTATCATTGAAAAATTATAATACATTCTTAATTTTTAAACATCTAATACTTGCTTTAATTGTCTATGAACGATAAGAATGTTTTGGTACAATATATAGGTTTATGTACTATAGTATTATATTGCAACAAGAATACGTTCATCGTAATACTTCAATTCCAGCATATACTGATTGCCTACACTCATCTATCTTTTCAAATGCTCTTTATTTATTGCATCCACTATTTCATTTACGAATGTCGTGATCTTTTCAATTTAGCTTTTTCACAAAAACACTCTTAGTGTAAGACGACCATCTGTACACCAAGCAACGTATTTCCCACACATTTCATCCATTCCAACTCGGTCATAAATTGATTTCTTTTGAGAATACTCCGCTGTGTAATCTTTAGAAAAAAATACATTTTTTCTATTAATCGAAATAAAAAAACGGAACTGCTTAATTATTTTCAATGTTATCTTTCATCATGACCAAATAAAAATATAAAAACTATGAAAAAAAGTTTGTTAAAGATGAATCCCGATGAACGACCTTTTTAATTAGCATAGCAGGGAAATATAGGTCCAACTGACTCCTGAATTTTGTAATTCAGTGTCTCTTTAGTAGTTTCAAATTTAGTATACTTACATATGGTATAGTCGTAAAAATGGTAAATTTTTTTTCTTAAAAATATTTAAAATATGTATTAGAACATAATATAATCAAATACCTACTTATAGTTATTTGTAATATATTACGTTTAATTAAATTTTATATTTTTATAATATTATCTATTCAAATATGTTTGTTGTTAATTATTATTTATCTTCGTATATACCATTTAATATATATATATAACATGAGACATTGGTTATATTTATCACGACGACTATTTACGATTCGTAAACTGTAATTTACGAAGAGCATAAACTTTGATAATAAAAAAGAAGATTGGAGTGTTTACGAATTTACATCACATATGGGAAACAAAAAGTGGTGCAATAATTTCTAACCATACTGTAAGTACGTGAACCAAATATTTATACGTTTGAACACTTCAAGCTTAAATAAAAGTTCTGGCAAGAACTTTATTACAGAAATCGATCTGTTATATTGGATTTAACCAATTAGTTTCTCTGCTGTAAGAAATACACAGTAAACTTTCAAAATAATAAATATAAAAAGAATCGTATTTTTTATTTCGGACAATGACATTTATAATTTTGGAATCAATTCCTTTTTTTGATATTGCATAATAATGTACTACACATTGGCTGACATTTTTTCAAGTGCCTAAATTGCATTTTTTTCAGCTTTTTGTGATTGTAATAAAAATTCAAAAAAAAAGGAGCAAGTTTTTACTATCGTTTAGGTAGTCGTATTTTATTATTGAAAATTTATCGCCATTTGTTTTTGTTTGACAAATGGGTACCTACTGTAACAGCGCACGCCGGAAAAAGAGAATAAGTCATAAATATTTATTGATAGGTACACTGCACACGCCAGTATATACAGCAGCATAAATGCATAATATTATAATAGTGTGAGGTCAGAAGTACCTATAAAATAATAAAATAATATTATACACTATATGAGACGCGTATCTACATACAATTACTCTGCTGTGAGCACCAGGCATATACAATCGACGGTGAACCGTATGCCTACAGCGGATACAGTGTATTTACCTTTAACCGGCTATTTATAATATGCACATATAATAAACAATATGGACCAGAATCGCGACTGGAATCGACTCGAAGCATACTTTGAAGATTATTATTATTATTATTATTATTATTATGATTTTTTTTTTTTTTGGGCGGTGGTTGGAGGTGCTCACGATTTCATAAATAAATTGCCATAACGAAATTATTGCTCTCGACCTGCGCAGGTCTGCTAAACATTTTCTGTACACGCCTATGCCTAAATATGCCTATACGAATGTGTATTTTCAAATAACCCATTTTCGGTCGGACGCGGCCGCCTAGAACGGACTTTCCGGTCGCCCACGGCAAAAAAACAAAACATAAAAAACGTAAGACGTAAAACGCGCGTTGTGTGCACGCACTGCGATTCACGCGCAGTCGGCGTAGGTTTATAGGTACCTACTCGTTGAAATATTACCGCCCGACGGCATTTACAGCCTATACAGGCCTATATAGTATGGTAACGATATAATAATATTATAACAGCATAATGGATCGTAACGTCGGATAATTGCGTTAGGCCGCGGCCTCGGAAGGAGTGAGACGGAAAGAGAAAGAGAAAAAAATCGGCACACGCACAATATACATAATATGCCTACCTTGTATACATATATAATATTTTATATATATATAGGTTTATGTGTGTGTGTGGGTAGGTAGTATAGGTACGCGTTTGACACACATTCGGTCCGCGCCCGACGACCAAAATAATAATAATAATAATAATAGTGTAATGTGCGTGTACGCATTTCTCGGTTGCGTAACAACGGTACAATAATCGCCTGGGCGACCCCGAAATCGCGGCGCGGACCGGCCCCGGCGGATGACGCCAACCGACGCGAACGCCCATACGCGACGCGCGTATCACACGCCCCCGGGTGCCCGTTGACCTAATTTCCGATATCGACGACGATATTATAAAGT